ATGATGGTGAGGAGGAGGATGAGGAGGAGTTGGAGGAGGAGTTGGAGGAGGAGGAGGAGGAGGAGGAGGAGGAGGAGGAGGAGGAGAAGGAGGAGGAGGAGGAGGAGAGGGAGGAGGTGAGGGGAATGTGTTGGATGATGGTGCCGACGGTGCTGGTGATTCTGGTGATGTTGATATTGGCGCTTATGATGGCCCTCCTGAGCCAGACCCCCTTTCTCGTTGCCCCTCAAAAGGGGCGTGCCTCTGGCTGGGGGGTAGGTGTCCCTCGGTGGTGAGCTTGCTTCGCTGCGGCCTATGGGGCCAACCTCTCGGGCCCCGGGATCATCAAAAGTGGATCCTGGGAGGATGCATTCACATATGAGGCGTTCTAGAAAGGGCCTTACCTTCGAGAGCCGAGGGAGTCGCCATGGCGGAAAGCAGCGGAAGGGCGGCGGAAGGCAGCGGAAGTAAAACGAGGCCGCTTCCGCCGGCGGAAGCCGTCGGAAGGGCGGCGGAAGCCGACGGGAGCAAAATGTGCGCCCAGGGGCGGCCAAAAAAGGGGTGTCATGAACGCCACTGAGGTGGCGTTGCTACAGCGGACGACCGGGAAGCGCTTGAAGGCAAACTTGTGAGAAGATAGTTGATGCTTCTTTTCGTGATACCGCTCTTGTTTCGCACCCTGGCGCCACGGCGCCTGGTTGCAGCGCCCCCCAGAGGCGTGCGCTTGCAGGTTCGATTCCGATGCAGGTTCCAAGACGGGGGTGATGAATGGGGGGGGGCGTAGAATGTCTGGGGCTATGAAATCTCCCCGGATTTCCTGGCACCCTCTTCTTGTTTAATTTTGCTCCCTAGCCCCCCTGGGCCGCACACGTGCGTCGGGGCATGATTGATTTGCGAACCCCTCTCTTGGACGCCCCCCTCTGTGACGCCCCCGATCGTCGGATGTCTGGGAAGTTGTAGTGCTGCCCTGGATCCTGGCCCTCCATCGTCCTCGGACGGTCGGGGAGTTTCTCCGATGTCCCAGGATCGAGTGCGCGTGAGAGTGACCCCTTCGCGGCTCCCGAATCGGCGTCGCCCGAACATCTTCATGCTATGTCTGCGTCGCCCCCCCCCCCCCCACGGGCGACGCGCGCGCCGAGAACTCCTCGCGGCAGGCGCTTTTTGGCCATGCCGCTCGGGAAAGGATATGGTGCGAGATGCTGTGCTACATATTCGGTTCGGACGGTCGCTTCCGAGGAAGGCGCATAGTACTGGTACGCCTCATTGCGGCACGCCGAGACCACTCTTGCCCAGGGCCGGTCTCACGTGCAGCCAACCCTTGGAGGAGAAGGGCGGCGACCCCCAGGCTCGAGGATCGAAGTTCGAGGATCGAGGCCGAGAGGATCCACCCTCGAGGGACAGATGATCGAAGTTCGAGGCTCGATCCTCGAGCTTCGAGGATCGAGGATCGAAGTTCGAGGAGCGAAGCCCGAGCCCACCACAGGCCTTGTGGAGGGCCTGCTTGCGCAGGGCCACAGAAAGAGAGAGAGAGAGAGAGAGACATATAAAGAGACAGAACCAATCGCAGCCCGAGGCCACGGTCCTCAATCCCAGTTCGCCGTGGGCAACTCTCGGCGGCGAGCGAGGGGTGGAAGTGTGAACAGGAGAAGGCCTTCTCAGAAGGCGGCGGGACTTCTCCGAAGCCCTCGCGCCTGCTGAGCAGTTTTCTGTGTCTTCGGGGAAGGCTTAGGACACTTCCGAACTTCCGAGCCCTCTGAGGAGGCCCGCCCTCTCTCATTTCCCCCCCGGCTCGCCTCCGAAAAAGTGATGGATCTAGGCCACCCAGATGGGGTCGCTCGGTCCGCATCGCCGATGCACCGCCAGTGCGGCTCGATGCGGAGCACGAGTTTCTTCATGCCGATGGCGCCGATGCATCGCCGACGTCACCGATGCATCACCGATGTGTCGCCGATGTATCGCCGATTCGTCGCCGATGCATAGGCGATGCGGTGCAATCCTTCGACCCCATCTACTCGGACCCCTATCTAGGAGGTCTCTAAAGGACCCCTCGCTTGAGCTTGCAGCGTGTCCCCGAAATGCTTTCGTATTAGTTCCCAATGCGTGTGCCGCATGTGTTTGCAGAGCTCGTTCGCAGCGCTTCGAAGAGCGTACGCCACCCTGATCTCTGGGCTTTGGGCACACAAGTGGTCCCTCGCTTCCAGGATGTCTGCTGCGTGCTAGAAGCCTTCGCAATAAAAGAAGGAAGAGCACAAATGCAATGTCGAGAAGTCCTCGAACTGTGGCGTTTTGTCGTCGTCGTCGTCGTCGTGATCGTCATCGTCGCCGTCATCGTCGTCGTCGTCGCCGCCGCCGCCGCCGCCGTCGTCGTCGTTGCCGTCGTCGTCGTCTTCGTCGTCGTCTTTCATCCACAGCTGTTTGTGACGGGCCTTGAGCCTGGCAGCGCCTTCTTGATGCCGAGAGTTGCCAAGGATTTTCATTTACAGTTGCTTCACGACGGCGACGAAGGCAACGACGACGACGACGACAAAGACCACGACCACGACCACGGCGACGACGATGACGACGTACACTGAACGACGACGACGACGAAGACGACGACGACGACGACGACGACGACGACGACGACGACCACGACGACGATCACGGACGACGACGACGACGACCACGACGACGACGAACGACGACGACGAGACGGACGACGACGTCGACGACGACCGACGACGACGACGACGACGACGACGACGACGACGACGACGACGACGACGACGACGACGACGACGACGACGACGACGACGACGACGACGACGTACGACGACGTAACGACGACGTAACG